CGGCCTGATACTGACTCCCTGTATTTGTCTAATTCGGGATCGTAACAAGTGCTAATAATTATCAGATAACTGTTTACATTTTAAATTACCCCAAGCATACCTGGTGGAATTTTTCGTTCAGGCCTTTTCGCCTCTACAGAAAAACACGTCTGCTAAGCTTACTGGTTAGTTCAGTTTCATCCATGATGCCAATTTAAGCCTTTAATCAGGCACAATGGAGAGGAGGCAAAAGAACAAAGTCCCAGATATCAATGTGGAGTTCATGTGCCTTCACTCTGTATGTGAAAAAATCAATATTGATCTGGACAGGTGGGTTTTTTTCCACCAATTTTCAATCCACGATTCTTGTTATTTTTTTTTGTTTGTGCTAATTACTATTGGTTATTGAGTCAAGGAGGTGTATCTCTTATTTGTCAAGACGTCATTGGATATTACTCATAACAGCATCGACAATCATTAGCGTTAGAATGATGGTTTTTGTGAAGAAACCGAAAGTTTTGAAGTTCTTAATTTAATTAAATTTTGCATTTCTCCGAGTTTTTCTTTTTTTATGCAGAAAACGTTGGTCTATGTTATGCGGTTAACTCACTAACGTCCATATTGAGATGAGCAACAAGTTCGTAATTTAGAATATAAATATCAAACAATCACTCAGAATATACAAGAATTCAATGTCGAAAACTGCGTTTTGCAACCTTTGTTCATATCAGTCAAGTTGATTGATAAGATAGGAAAGATGAAAGCAAAGGTTCGAACAAATACAACAATCAACAATACAACAATCGACAACAATTTGAAACAAACTGCTTATCGGCAGCCGAATCTAAGATCTACCCACGATTCCCCTTTATGCTTAAAACCCACAATTTTTCCGCGAGATTGTACGTATTTGCGAACGAAATGCAACCATTTTTATCCGTTGCAATCCTTCATAAGGACCTTTTATATGCACATACGTTAAGCTGATTTAACCCACAGTAGCTCCATCCTTTGTCCCACTCCATTCGAATCGATTCTCTATCAGAAGCACCAAGCTTGTTTTCTTCAAAATAGTAAAAAACGACAAAACTCTCAGCCATTGTTTCAAATTTTCCATTATTATTCAACATTTACGATCGATATTCAACGAGCGTAGGCTTTAAGCGCAAGCCGATTCCGGTCCATCGCAATGTTTGTTAAACAATCGCAGATCCAAGGCTTGAACTACTAGTGGTAATGCATTGCATAATTATTTAGACCAAACAAAGAAGCAGATTATATTTGCACCCGCTTTCTCTGCGCTGTCTATTTTTGGCTCAGTGAAAGCTTTTCCAAAAGGAAAACAACTTACCTGTTAATGTTTGCCGATTTTGAGCCTGAATGCCCCGCTATGGTGATGTGAACGTAGACGTTGGAGTCGTTTTGGGATAGATTTACCAATTCCTCGCCTTTCCACTGGTAGATGAATACCGCACTAATATTGCCTGCAATTGAAAGTCAATGTAGTTTTTTTATCAGTACTCAATAATTGTCGATTGCCCCTCGTAGCTCGATTAATCCGTTCAAAACGAGCCGAGTTAGGTCTGCGCCTTTCGCCCCTGTGTGAAAGAGAGAGCGAGTGATAGGGGCGATCAGCATGCAAACACTTGTCGTGTCACACATGGCCGCGTTACGAGGGCCGCTTTCAAATTTAATTCATGTTAATGTTCGCATTTTCAGAAAGTTACTGTGCCTGGCACTGTTTTTCGTATTCAACATTCCACTCGTCTATAGGAGGTTTAGCCTTGTTTACATACGAACGGTGATTGCGTGCTTGGTTTATTAACATTTTATTGCTGCATGGGTATGTCAATAAGGTTGTAGCAGGAAAAAACCCATATCGGTTTCCAAAAAATATTCTATCTGTAAACTTAATTGTTTGTGGTTTATAAAATGTTCTATATTTTCGGCTGCCTTTAAAGCTATCGGGATTGAGGGTCTCTTATAAAGCCCATGACCCAGACATACGAGACCTACGAAGGTCCAAACCGCTAACACTTTGGCAATAAATCAAAATATCAGCGTTCCGATTTATCATTGCCATATAAAAACGGGTCGAATGACCCCAAAATATCCTGAATGAAAACGCGCTTTTCCGTATGAACTAGTTCTGGCTTTAGACTGATCGAATGGCCAAAAACCAATGAAAACGCACAATGATGAGTGTTTTTCAGGCATAATGGCGATTCGACCTAAACACGCCCTAATGCCTATTTAAAAAAAATGACTCAATAATGAAAGTGGTTTTTTTAAGCAGGACGGTCGTTTTCCCAGTGGTGCGTTTTGTTTTATGTTAATCGTAACGGAGTTGGATAATTAACTAATGGCCTGTGGGCTTCTAAAATTAGTAAGCCGCTCCATTATGAATGAATGAACACACACAAACACAACAAAGCATTTTTCGTTAAAATAAAAAGCGAGTGTTTGGCCCATGATGTTCATTGACGGTTTTAATGAACATGTACACAACAGCCACTCGATTTCAAGTAGCTACTGATCCATGTTTGCTTCTGGTAAATACAATAAGGCAGCTATTTGCATAAACCCACCATTCTCCAGGCTTAAAAACCTTTTCAATGAACTGTTTCATAAGGTCGGTTAAATAGAGACTAATTTTTATTTGCCAATGGGAAAAAAAGGAATTCGCATTGAAACTGGGGAATAATGAAGCTGAGAAAGTGGCGCTGATTTTCATCTGGACGGTGAAAATCACGTATAAGAACAAGAACTGAGTGGAATGAATAGATAAATACGGTGGCTTAAGGGCATGGTTGATCAATTATTAATCTGAAATGTTCCATCAAATTAAACCCGACCTACTTGCGTACTTTGCCGAGCTTTTCAATCAGCTTTAGCTTAGCTTAAGCTCGTATATGTTATGTATGTAGGATGTTAGATTAGATGTTTTTTTCCTGTTTTTAAAGCTCTTGAGAGAAAATTTGAAACCGGTTTGGATGGAAATGATGTTGCGGGACCGTTAATTTAAACTTTACTTATTTCTCAGCATTTTCTTCATATTCTCTTTCATTTCTCTTGGAAACTAACAGTATTTCGGCAATTTAAGTCGTTTGCCTTTGGACCCCCAAAACTTCCACAGTATTTTTATTGAAAACAAATTTACTCGAATTTTGGGAAGCCTATTTAATTTAGAAACTTGCATATTTTACTATCTCTTGCATATTTTACGTTAAACGCAATGTTTTTGAGGAAAATGACAGAATGTGATCGAATGCATTCTATGGAGATGCAATTTTGCGTG